CATCGACAGGTACGGATGCTCCCATTCATCCCAAACAACCCTATTTAGAGGTCAGCCCCCTTTAATATGCAGTTTATTTAACCAAGAGACACACTGTGTTACTCATTACTCCTGAGACAGAAAGGCTAAATAGCCGCCCTATTAATTTATTCATGTGAGCCATCTTTTCCTTTGCTGCCATAAATGCAAATCCAGTCTTGATTAAGCTTCTAATTTTAATTTATTCCCCATCAGACTTTGAAAATCTATTTAGGAATAAGTTGATTTCATTAACAATAATTTATGATATTATTTATAATTTGAAGGAGTTCATTTTCATAAGAGTTGCAATTCATACTATAAGGAACATGTATTCAAGGAAACAATAAAAACGACCAATTTAGCTTAAATACATATAGACTTCAATAAAGTTCAATGTTTTAAAGGACACCTATCATGCTATATTTAAATGATATATTGTAGGGCCATACCTATATAAGGTATATTTATACGTTTCTGTTTTCAAAATACCAAACAGATCATGCATTTTAGCCATGCCTCATTTCGCTCTATTTGCTGTTCTCCAGCCGTTTTTGCAGGGGGCTGATTCTGTGAGCTGCAGCTGACCACGCCCCCCTGCAGGAGAGGGGAGCCGCTCTGATCAAGTCAGAAGAGGGGGAGAAAAATAGATCTCCGTCCTCCGTGTTTTATTATATAGAGTCGTTATTCATTTGTTTTAAAGCTCAATAAATAACAAAGAAGACCTTTGATCTGCACTTTTCTAACTTTGTCCGGAAGATTTAAACTTTAACGGACATCTTGACCGGCGAAAGAAAACCTAACTGAAACTCTGCCGCACGGTGCCCTCGTTGCTTGGAAGAGGCGGAGAGGTGGGTGTTTGTCATCTGCTGGTGGACGAACCAGAGAGAATTACAGTGCTTGCCTCGACGGGGAGGGATTACATTGAATTACAGCAGCAGGAGCAAACGCTTGCCTCGGGGAGGGAGAAAAAGAGCCACAGCGGAGAATAAACAGAAGGGGAACCATGGCAACCATGCGCGGGAAGTCTTCTTCGCTGCTTTTGTGGCAGACTGCAGCGCCACTTACAGGCCTGGCATATGTACTCCAGCGCTTTCTAGCGGCAATGGCCGGCCGTGGCCCAACCCCACATTCCCCTGATAGGTGGAGAGTTGGCCCAATAGCCGTAGCGCCACCGTCCTGACGTCAGGACAGTGTTCAAATCTGGATCAGTTTTTATCAGATCCGTTGCAGCCCCTTTTTTAGAGATTTGGGTATGGAGGAAAATAGAGAGGGTTGTGTTTTCTGACACTTGGTGAGTTCCCTGGAACACCGGGGACACATATTCATGTATAAAAGACGTACAAAAGTGCATTTTGCATGATAGGTCCCCTTTAAGTGCTTTTCTGTATACAAAACAGATGTACTGTATAATCAACTCTTCTCAAAAGGTTACCTACAGGCATTTTGCACAGCACCCCTAACACATAACACCCTCTAAGTGCTTATCAGGCCTGTTATTAATCTGTAAATGGCAGCAGGGGTCTCTCAGTCTCATAGGAATTGTGGAAGAAACTACTGGAGGCCTAAACACAGGGAGGCGATTCAAGAAGCCTAGAATTAAAGTTAGTTTCCATCTGCAATCTTTTCAAATGTTTTGTCTCATTAGTAAATTATTATCAGATAAATAAACAGATTTGTTTGTGTATTAAATCAAATATTGGAGCCTCTTGTGGGATCTCCCCACCTGTACGGGCTGCCGATGGTTTAATCCAATAGCAATAAGGTCAAACCACAGTAATTGCATGCTTTTGCGGGGGAATTCAGAGACTTTACGGAAATAATGTCATACAAAGAAGAGCAAGACATTAATAATAATAATTGAGGGAAAACGGCTGGTAACAAAATACTTTTCAAAGAGAGAGGAGTAAAATACAGCAACCCTTTCCCATGCTTAGGTCGTATTAAAGACTTGAAAAAAAAAGGAAAAAATATTATATATTTACGCTCAATAGAAAACCTAAGTATCTCAGATCATTGAGTACTTTGTATCTTAAAGGGCCCATGTCATGGCCATTTCCACTGATCATAATTACATTGTTGAGGTATACTAAAATAGATTTATACTGTGCAATTTTCCAAACTCACATTGGTTTCGCATACAGCATCTCTGTCAAGCATGTGTATTCAGCAGTATTCACTTTCTCCACTAAACGACTCGTTGGAGCTCTTGCCCCCCCCTCCCTGTGAGCCTAGTGTGCTCCGATTGGTCAGCTCGGCCACTCGTTCTGATTAGTCAACCACCAGAGAGGCTGCGCCCATGTCAGTGCTTTTCCCGGCTGCTCTCAGCGTAACATCAGTCTTATCATGGCGTCGGTACAGCGGTATATTTTATATACATATATATTTTTAACTGTTGTTATAGAAGAGTGTGACGGCCTCAGGGCCTTTGTCTTACGGTGGGGTGGAGCTGAAGAGGGTAATCAGCGCGATCACGGACACCTCCGTAGCCGGTGCTATTAATCCCAGCGGCCCGGAGTCTCTCTCCAAAGCGGCTGCAGAAGGACGAACTGAGCGACCCTCTCCCCACGACCACCTGTCTCTGCATTTACTACAATAAATGTGCCGTGGTTTTGTAAACTCGTGTATGTCTCCTTGTCTTTCCGTTGTGGCCTACGAGCTACTCTCATAACAAAGAGTAAGTTATTTTTACCCGTTATAAACTACTACTGTTTGATGAGAAATCAAATCATGGTTTGCTATATATGAATTCAGGGAAGAAAGGATAGGCCTACTAAGTATTTCCATTAAACTTTATTTTTAGAAATGTACAAAATGAACATAAATATACATATATACACGGTATATCATCCATTCCTCCTCCTCGCATCTTGCCTGCGCACAGTCGGTGCGGTGCCTTTTAGCACCCTCAGTAGTAGTAGAATCCCTTCCCCGTCATGGATTGTCCGCCAGGATCTGGCTGGACGAAATCAAATGCAAATCACAAAATATTAGAGAAACTTAGTTGTTTTAGATTCGTTAGTAGTAGTTGTGTAATGAACAGCTTGCCTGCTAATATGCTAACCTAGCTTTGTTTACCTTGGTAGCTAACACGATATGAACGTTAGCTTGGAGGAAAGGCAACTATAATGCAGTGTAATAAAACTACTATGAACAAAAGCTAGTGGTTCATATTAGGCTAGCAATAACGTGTTTATAATTGCAATCGTATACGGGTATTCTGCTACGTTCGGTCATACAATGTAACTTGCATGAATACATTGTTTTGCGCTAGCATACAGCTAGCCTCGTTAGCTACATGCAGTATATGTACGGTCACAATGTACGGTAAATCACAGTACAGTATACTGTATGAGTATTCCGTGTGTGTGACTGCAGACATTCTCCTGCCATGACAAACATGTAAGGCCATCTGCTGACATTGTAGTTGATATATTTAAACGCTAGCAACGTAGCATCACAAAAATGTTTTTCTGACCGAAACTAGCTCTAGCTCCGTGTGTTAGATCGCTACGCCATCTATAATGTAATTACGTTTCGCGACTGACCGGCAAATCACCCGGAGTATACTGTCAATAGGTATTTTGTGTGTGAATGCAGACATTCTCCTGCTATGAGATACATGTATGCAAGGCCATCTGCTGATATTAGAGTTGATATATGGAAACTCTAGCAACTTAGTTAGCACTGTGTCAATGGCTTAGCAGTCCAACACAGTTTACACATTTAAACAGTCTTGTTTGATAAATACACAAATAACAATGCAAACTTACAGGTTGTATACCCAGATCTTCCCCTGCTCCAAACGGTCCAAACAAGCTGTGCATATCCGGCCTCAAACTGGGCAATGTTTTGGAAGCTTTCGTCTGTGAAATGCCGGTTCTTCGAACCTCTGGAGGAGGAACACGACGCTGCTGGTGTGGCCATAGCTCTTCGGGATTGGTCCATTTCGTTCCGGGTACCGCATGACATCAGGCGGTACCCGGAACTAAATGGAAGAATCAAATGGGCAGTGACGTATCTCCAACGAGGCGTTTTGAGGAGGTATTTTCTGTGTTAGAGTTTTACTCGCTACAGGGTGTACTTTGAGGGTTTTGACTCTGCACACCGTTTACATGCATAAAAACCTTCATAACACACAAGGGGACGGGTAATAACCGGAAAAGCATGACATGGGAGCTTTAAAAGCAGAACCTATTGAAAGCATATACACAAGAAATGATTTGTACATGCATGAGAAATTATGTATTTAAAAAGGAAGGAGGTCCACTGAGATGGAATATGGGCATGTGCTATGCCCCTGGTGTTGTCTTTTAAACTGCAGCTATGATAGAAACATCATTTCAGTACCAGTTGTTCTGAACTCTTGTCAGACCAGAATCAAAGCGGAGTACAACAGCAAAGACACACAAAAAAATAAATGGTACTTTCAAAAGTGTCCAACACAGTGATTTACAGAAGATTCTTAAAAGAAAATCTGTCAACTGGGCTGTAATAACTTTCAGGAAACGTACATCTCTGCACTGTCAGACAGCAGAGCTCGACAACACTGTCAAGCTTCAGTCTCACCCCACTTCCCATTAGTCATGCTGTATGTGACTCTGTATTAGGTTGTCCCATCATAAGCTCTCAATGAGAGAATGATTACATATTTCTACATGACTGGCAGTGCAGATTATTAGCATAAGCAGCACTGGTAAATGGCTTTCTGTAACAAAGCAAATACCAAACTGACTGTGTAGAACAAACACTGTGGGGCAAACAATAACTTCAGAGAAAAACACAGCATTGGGCTCTGGAGGAATATCACACTGATGTTTCTTGCATAGGTTTCCATATTACTGATTCCCTTCTGCTACAAGTTTGCATGGATAAAGATCAGTAGCAGCAGTATTGTGTCTGAGCCTCACTGATGCCTCAACAGTGCCACCTTATGATCAAAGTCTATTCTTCATGTTCACTCATCAAAAAAACACAGGCTGTGAATTTCCAGAAAACTTCATTTTAAGACACACAGAAGAAGACAAAACAACTAGGATAATTTTTCTGGCTTTTTGTAAATTCTAGCGAGGAAATATCTCTCAGCTGAATCCTTCCTGCTGGCTTTCGGCTTTAAAGTCTGAACACTGTTAAATACTCTCGAGAGTTTCTCCTGGAGTTCATGAGCCAGGATGCCGTCAGAGTATTTACAAAGCAGAGAGCCCCCCGGCAGCAAAATCTTCTCTGCCAGGTCTAGTAAAGAAAAACACATTGTGACGAGTTTCACATGGTCCATCTCCCGGAAACCGCTGGCGTTGGGCGCCATGTCGCTCAGGATGACATGAGCCTGACCCCCTGGGAGCAGCTCCAGCAGCTTAGCGTGGGTGGGGGGGATGGTGACATCATGACAGGACAGGAAGTAGGCGCCATCCAAAGGTGGTATGTGCAGCAGATCAATGCCAACTACTGTACCAGGTGGTGCCGCTGGATCTAGTATGCAAGAAAACATTACATCTGTAATTAACACAAAGATATGTATGTGGAACGTGAATGTTTTAATGGGTTACTTCCATCATATTTGATGGTGAGCTACAATGTTAAGTCGATTAATTGTAATTGATAATAGTATTATTTCAAGCAAAGATGTAAAAATAAAATGTAGATTTTCTATTTTTCTCTTTTTTTATATCGTATGAAATTGAATATCTTTGGGGTTTTATCTTGGACAATAAACTTGAATATATAAAAAAATATGCCTACATTTCTCCAGTTATATTAATTCCTGTACCCAGATTATTGCAGTCGTATGGAAAAACCAAAAGACTTGTGACATTTATAGTAATGGATTCAAAAATAAAAGCTCATTCACCAATTAAAGATCAACTTCTCTAACACACCTTTGTCAAGGATAATTAAAAGCAGGGTGTCCCAAGATCTACAGCACTTTAAATGAACTGGGAACACACTACAGCATAATGAAGAGTTGAGTCATTCTCTTTGACATAGCCTTAATAAAACCTGAAGAGTGTGCTTTACATACTGCTTTAGTTTAGCATCATAGTGTATGGTGTCCCTGTTATTTTGTCCACCTCTGTTTCTCCCCTCTCACCTGTCCCGGCTGAGTTGACCCTATGCACGGCCACCTGGCTCCAGGCTCCAGGGGCAGCTCCGCAGTCCACCACACTACATCCAGGCTGTAACAGTCTGAACTTGTCATCTATCTCCAGCAGCTTGAAGGCACTTCTGCACCGGAAGTTTTGTTTGTGAGAAGCTTTGACATACGGGTCTTTGAGCTGCCGCTGCAACCAGCGCTGCTCGGCGGGAGTTTTACTCTTATTTAACTTCTTCATTAGACATAAAGAGGAGTGGAGGAATCTCCTCTGGAAGGAGAAACCCCACATTTTTTGACTGTGGAGGGTCAAAGCGTACGGTAAACTGCGCATGCGTGGAAACACTGTGCGTCATACTTATATGTCCCCCATTGCAAAACACTCACAATAATAGTTCCTACTTGGGTGGTTTGGTTTATTTCAGCGTCACAATATGTAAAACTTTTTTAAATGTATCTCCTCTTAAACAATACTGTAATAAATGCATTTTCTATTAAGGGACTGTTGTGAAAAATACCAAAGGAAATCCGATTTGTATTTGATTTTCAACATAAGTAACATAACATTATATTGACACCTTGTGTAATTCATATTCTATATTTGAAAAGTGAGTTTAAGTTTGTGGGTGTTTGAGTTTAACACAACACACGTTGGCACACGTTTCTAGTCGATCATATTTTAAATGTAACACATGGCTGATGTTGATTAGACCAATCCGTGCTTTTACACATCTGCGTCATCTGACCAAATCTGTAGTGCTGCACGCGGGAGTCATAAATAGTCCTGATTTGATACAGGAACTTGTTTTTTCTCCTGACTTTTTGGGTTTACAGAGCAGGCATTGATCAGGTGAGGAAGTTAGGCTGAGCTCACACAGCACAGCGTTAGCAGCGAGTTTTGCCTCAGGCAGGTTCACGTTGTGTTTCACTTCCTCCTCAGGCAGGGGAGATGTTGAGCTCCAAGCTGCTGACCCTGGTTCTGGTGGTGCAGCCGGGCAGGGTGCTGCTAGGCATGAAGAAGAGGGGGTTCGGGGCCGGGAAGTGGAACGGTTTTGGGGGAAAGGTTCAACCTGGAGAAACTATTGAAGAGGGTGCAAGGAGGTACATATATCGCGCCAATTGTTGTTGTGTTGACAACCTTCTACACAAAGCAGTTCACCAATGTCAACACCACAAAAGTAGTTTTGAAAAAGCTTGAATGAAAAAAGCTAATGATAGAAAATGCTATATTCTCTTGAAGTACAATCTTTGAAAAAAACAAAGCTGTTATTATATTTCAGTTAAAGGTAGGTAAGAATGGAGAAACCAGCTGAAGTGCGCTAGAATTTGAAACTACGCAGCCGAAAAAAATCTGCCCCTTCATTCAGACTTCCTAACAGAGCCCCTCCTCCAACACACACGAACGCGCACATGACCAATGAGGGCACGAGATAAATTTGTGCACGAGATGGAAGGCTGACAGGCAGGTAGGCCATCGTGCTTTTTACAGCGCCACGGCTTCCACAGATGATTTTTTTGTATGTATTTATTGTCAAAGCATTTAATGTATTCATTGCTATCGGGATGTTAAGAGCAGTCCATGGAATATAACAAAAAGTGTGTCTGAAGTGAATTACCTACCCCACCTTTAAAAGTGGGGTAGGTACGTTTGAGAAACCGGCTCGAGATACACTTTTTGTTATATTCCATGGAATGCTCTTAACATCCCGATAGCAATGAATATCCTAAGTGCTTTGACAAAAAATCCATAAAAAAATGTAATCTGTGGAAGCCGTAGTACTGTAAAAAGCGCGACCAATCATTTAGCCGGCCGGCTAAAATAACTGGATGGCCTACCTGCCTGTCAGCCTTCCATCTGTGCACAAACTTATCTCGTGCCCTCATTGGTCAAGTGCGCGTTCGTGTGTGTTGGAGGAGGGGCTCTGTAAGGAAGTGGCAGATTTTTTCCGGCTGTGTATTTTCAAATTCTAGCGCACTCGAGCTGGTTTCTCCAAAATTACCTACCCTACCTTTAAGTTTAAGTTTTCTTATAGGGTTTGTTAAAGGAAATGAAAAGTTTAATTATATTGAATTAATTTCACAATACATTTCTCAGCTCTTGAATGCATATTCTCACATCACTGATCAATCATAACACCTTTAACTTGCATTATTGTAAAGAGAGGTTTTACTTCTGTAAAAGTAGTGCTACAAGTGTAGAAATACTGTCTTTCAAGTAAACACGCAACAAAATTAGAATAAAACAGTAAGAAGGTAAAAGTACTCAATTTAATTTTATATTTTCAATATATATGTATATTATACATATATAGATCAATATAAGTGTATCTTAACCTGTAATAATACTCAATACATTATTTGTTAATCTATTATAATTAATTATAATATCTGAATCTTCTATCATAAGTATTTAATAAATGTAGTGTAGCATGTACACTACATTTGTACAATATTAACCTCAAGGTTGTAGTGTAAGTATATCTTATATTAAGCATATTTAATTCTCAAGTAAAGTTCAAGTACCTCAAAATTCTCCTTTGGTACATTACATACAAATAAATGTACTAAGTTATAGTCTACCACTGAACATACATAACACAAGATATGACGCAGTGTTTTTCCATTTAAATCAAACAACACAAGTGTTTTATTGTAACAGCATTAGACAACAGTAGTGTGGTGTCCACGTGTTGAGGGGAGCATTGAAGAAAAAAAGGAATGTTTGGTCTGGATGATGTCTGTGTGTGTCTGGTGTTTTGTGTGTGGTCATCAGTCATCAGCAGGAAGTTTGTTCCAAAGGAAGGAAGGCAATCAGGCCCATGTTTTCTCTTAAAATGAAAAAGAGACCTGCTTTGTGTAAAGATTATAGAAAGGGGCTACAAAAATAAGAAATATCTTAAGGCTATGTTGGTAATGCCTTTCAACAGAAGCAAGTGACTAATCATAGTTCTTATTTACTATGAAACTCTTACATTTTAAGAGTTAACAATAAGCAGGCTTGACGTTAGTGTTTGGAAATATAATTAAAATGTAAAATAATTGTCCAAGAAACATACATATACAACAAAATATCATGCCATAAATATGTAAAGTTACTCAAAAAAAATATTGAGTGGCTGAGATTTGAATTCTTTATTGAAAATTAATAAACAGGGCAAAATGATCTTTCAAACTCAAAGATCAGCTCACTGTCAGCCAATTTAGTTGACTCTAAAAACGAAATGCTGTCTATTTGTGTGAGCCACATACAAATAGACCCTTTCTGTTTGTGTGAAGTGTACTGTGAGCTTATTTTTAAAACACACTTCATAAAATATTCATTGGATGTTTTCTTTTTAGAGAGCTGCAAGAAGAAAGCGGTCTCACGGTGGACGCTCTCGAGAAGGTCGGAAACCTCAAGTTTGAATTTGTTGGAGAAACGGAGCTGATGGATGTCCATGTTTTCAGAGCTGACAGTTATAATGGAGAGCCAACAGAGTCAGAAGGTATGACTTCCACTACAACAATGCGGAATAACTGGAATGACAGTTTCCATCTCAAAAATGCATGCAAATTATAATAGGATAACTGGAGCTAGAAATCAGCGCTATGCTATAAGGGAACAGAAGTGCCACTTTTTACCTTCATAACCGATCATGCACTTAAGAGTTGAAGAGGAACTCCACATTGTTGTTGCACATTATTCCAAGTAACTGATGTTTAAAAAACTGTATTCCTGCAACAAAAAAATCACTTTTGGTTCCTTTTAATGTTGACTTCCTTTTTTGTTATCTCACCGCCAGTCTTCGTAGGTCAAGTTTAGATCTAAAAGCCAACTGAGAAACAGTTTTCAGTTCAACTTTTTAAACCACATAGATCAAAATGATCCTTTTAAGTAAATTGATTCAAACCGTCTTCTGGGAACTTCTTCACAGACATGAGCAGGGACAGCACATTAGTTAAGGGCAGGAATATCAGTGGTGAAGTTAGAAACAACTGAATGAAGGAAACAAGAGGCCCTGTACAGAAGGAATGCAGAGACCGGCAGTGATCTTTATTTCCTGAGAGTTTAGTCAAGGTCGATTGGGTGAAGAGTACAGACACACTTCAGACTCTGAAGTTAGTGAAAAGACTGGAGCTGGTGACTGAATTGATATATTCAGATAGGAAGCAACAGGTGACGTAGAAGTAAACTTCTTCAAAAGTGGTAATGTTAAAGAAAGAATTTCATCCAGAGGGCGGATAGAAAAAGTTACCGACATATTATAGTTCAAGGAGAAACAAAGACACATGTTTTTTAAGTTGGGAAAAGTTCCATCTTGTTTTAAAAGTTCTGTCTTGTTTTAAAAGTAAGACGAAAAATATGGATTTTAGAAATGTCCACACTTTTAAATCTGGTGGTTTGTTTATCCCCTTCTTAACAAACATAACTATGTATCCATATATACTGTATAATTGTTGGCAATGACACTGAAAAGGTATGTTCACATTGTTTTACGTATTTTTGTACAATTTAAAAGTTATTTGTCTATAGGACCAAATCCACAGTGCTCATTAACTGCAACATTTCTAGCGTGTTACTATCCTTTTACTGCAACTCAGCAGGGAAAAGCAACAAGCTTTTTCACTAAAATGTACTTAATACGATTCCAACTTTGATTTGTTTATCCAAACAATGAAGACATGGATTCCTCCCTATATTTAGCTACATTTGCGTTGAGCTAAAAATAAACCTATAGATATGCGAGTATTATTTCCAGCCAGCCTTTAAAATGTTTGAAAGTGGCTAAAAAATAATAGCGATATGCGTTTGTCATTTATTCAGACAACAGCTCAAGGTAGATGATGTACATGTTGGCTTTGAGTAAAGGAGGTGTGCTAATTATTTTTCCTTTTTTGCTTTTAGAAATGCGGCCTCAGTGGTTTGATAGTGACCAGATTCCCTTCAGTGAAATGTGGGCTGATGACATCCTGTGGTTCCCACTGATGTTCCAGAAGAAGAAATTCGTCGGATACTTTAAGTTTCAGGGTCATGATGTGATCCTCAGCCAGAAACTGGAGGAAGTGGAGGAACTGTGAGACATCCTGTGTTTCTGAGGACATTTATGACTGTGACAACAAGAATTGGGCTTCCAAATGTCTTCTTTGAAACAGCAAGACTCTGAGGACTAAACCTCGCACATGGAGTTTTACATGTAACATGTTACTGATTTATTTTTTCAATGATAAATAAAAAACAATCAAAGCAGAAGTATATTGACAGAAATATTCATTCTGTTATTTTATTTTCAGTATAAGTGATTCAACACAATTTAGCAAGGCTTTGTTTCATAAAGTATTTACAATATCTACAGGTATAATTCGATTGGATTTCATATTCTGTGCAAGTTAGTAAACCTGATTCCTGATACTTCTTTCCTGACAAAACAAATGTTTCATACTGTTTTATAGTTAATCATAAAATAAAAGTTTCTGTGAGGTAAGGTGAGCCCATATAAGTGTCCCTTTGATTTTCCCCATTAGAATAATACATAATGTTCTGGTAAACCATATGTGTACAGATATTAATGTGCATTACGGGTTTCATGACAAATATCTGAAAAGTAGAGAGCCTAATATGACTGTTTGCCCTTATACACATAGTAACACACTTTTAAGTTAGGATTTATAATAGAATTGTGAAAAAAATATCCTCCATATCCAAGTAGTATGGTCAAAAAAATTCCAGTGGCAATTATTTAATGTTAAAATACGAATTGTTACAGTTTCTATTGCACCGCAACTTGAATTTATATAATTTCTCTTTGGTAGTAAATCAATAGCTTATAGCGTTATTATTGACATTAGGCCACTAGTGCTTAATCAATAAACTTTAAATCTCTGCCCTTTGTAGTATTATACATTTCGAGTGTAGGTTGTTCAAAATAGCTTATGAAATTAAACAGGGAAAGATAGAAAATCTGTTGCTCCACATAAAAGTAAACACTTATAAAGTAAGAGAAACAGCACACTTGTCCATAACAAATATAAAGTAGGCTGCTCCACGTCCTTGTGAACTCAAATCTGTATCAAAAAAACATTGGGCTAAAGTTTTTTAGTATGTAAAACCTTCATGACTGGAGATCTACAATAATCCCATTCTTTAATAAAGTCAAACTTTTATGTCCCTCTCATTTTCTCTTCTTTAGTGTATAGAACTTCTTCAAAGGTTAAGGTATAAACCGGTGCTTAAGGAAACGAGTTAAGCATGAATATAATGTCATCCCTCACGTCCTAAATGCTGACTGGTCCCTTGCAAAATCACTTTTAGAGGATTTTCCTTCCTACATTATTTCCTCATCAAGCAAAGCATAAAATGACAGATTTATGAGCCCACTGTATTTTCCAGTTACATGGTGGATGATCAAATCCCAAAATAAGCTGAGAACTCATTTACATAATGAAATACTCGTATTAAATGGAATGTATATTGAGCACACAGAGCAAGTTATTTTCCAGTTTGTGATCCTCTTCAGCCGCAGAGTTTCTCTCGTGCGTTCAGGTTTCAGATGGGGGGCTTCGATCTGTTATTACCCCCAAAGAGACAGCCGAGCTTTGGCTGGAGTTCATTCCACACCGCTCCCATCTGGAAAGAAAGCAAAAAGTAACTTCTCTTCACTCTTCACAGTTCGATGAAGCTAATCTTCCTAATAAAATAAACAATCAAATGTTGCTATGGGGTTTGGAGGAAATAATTTTAATATATCTAAGTAAAAATATCTTTAACCTTCTCAAAAACGTTGGAATTTGAGGCGTCAGATAGACATCCAAATAAATCCAAACTGTGCTTTATTTGAGTTTAAAGTCAGGCAAAGGAATATGTGAGATTAACTTCCTGTGAAACTCAAGCCAATTAAAATACTACACAAAGAGAGTATCCTTCCACTGATACCATCCATCAACATTAGTTATTTCATTGGATTTTGAAAGCCAATTTAAAACTGATATAACCCTGCCGAAGCGTCTAGAAAAATGATTTCCAGACAAGCAGCCTCACCTCTCTGTGTCCTTGGACCTGGGAGTTAACGAAAGCCCCCAGAATGTGAGAAGTGATGGGAAGGTAGATGAAGATAAGCTGCGTCTCTTGATGAAGGCAGAACAGGGAGAAGTAGTTGCGCAGCTCCATGGTCTGGATGGCGTTTTCTTGCTATTAACAGAATAATAAAAAGAGTAATTGGGAAGCCACCACTTATCAAATTATGATAATAATCAGTAAGTAAAGAGGAGAGAATAGAGTTTTCTGTGGGGACGTTTCACTCCATTGACATCAGAGATGAGATGAGGCCATAAATCATCCCATTAAATTTAAATTGGCTCTTTATTTGATTTACAATTGACCTATTGCCTCACCCTGTTCATCACCAACTCAGTCACTGTTACTGACACCAACACTGGTGTCCGTCTGATGAAGGAGTCTCAAAGAAGTTTCAGCATAATGCAAAGGAGTGAAATGGTCACAGTTACAGGACTTATCAGACATGTAGAATTACAAGCAAGGTGGCATGCATTCATCTTAGCATATTATTTTACTGTTACTAATATCTGTTTTTAGCCATGCTAGTTTTAGTTGGGCTAACCTCAAAGTAAAACATGAATAGCCTACCTGAAAAGCCATGACATTCCCATTAGCCTCAGTGGTCTAGTTTTAATTAGCAAATGTTAGCATGCTAAAATGCTAAACTAAGATCGTGAACATTGTAAACATTAAAGACATCAGCATGTTAGTGTTTTCAGTGTGAGCATGTTGACATTACCAGTCAGCTAACCTCTGTGCATAAATACTGTCTCATGGAGATGCTAGCATGGCTTCTTTCAAGATGTGTAGAGGTCAGAGGACCCACCTTTTTTGAATAACGTAGCACAGCCAATCTTAGTGGATGTAAAGGGAGTTTTCTCAAACGGTTGGAAACCAGGCCCAATTCTATGCGATAATGTGCACATTTCCTAAACTCAGTAGTTAGATAGTTACTGCTTAGGCCTAAATCAGTTTATAATAATAATACATAAAACACTTTTCCCAGTCCTCAAAGACGCTTAAACTTTAGTTTAAGTTTATGGCAGCTTTTATTAGATACATACATCTACTGAACCTCCAATAGAAAAAGATTTTGTTTCAGTTATTGATTGAATTCCTTATAACTTGAATATGAAATAGTGTAAGCATTTTTGGGGAATAAACTGTACATAAAAATCTTTCTATTTAATCTCACTTATCAGGGTCCCACAGATCCCAAAAAAGTCTTAAAAGGAATTGAATTAATTGAACTACAAATAAGGTGGTATTCAAATGTCTTAAAGGTGGGGTAGGTAAGTTTGAGAAACCGGCTGGAGATACACTTTTTGTTATATTCCATGGAATGCTCTTAACATCCCGATAGCAATGAATATCTTAAGTGCTTTGACAAAAAATCCATAAAAAATGTAATCTGTGGAAGCCGTAGTACTGTAAAAAGCACGACCAATCATTTTAGCCGGCCCGGCTAAAATAACTGGATGGCCTACCTGCCTGTCAGCTTTCCATCTGTGCACAAACTTATCTCGTGCCCTCATTGGTCATGTGCGGGTTCATGTGTGTTGGAGGAGGGGCTCTGTAAGGAAGTGGCCGATTTTTTCCGGTTGTGTATTTTCAAATTCTAGCGCACTCAAGCTGGTTTCTCCAAAATTACCTACCCCACCTTTAAATCAATCTTTCAAATACTTACACATGGAAATTAGGATTTTAATTGCAATAAGGTTGCATTGTAAAATGTCAAAATGATTGATAACATCTATTATTTTTTATGATAATTTACCAAAACTGTTCTGTACTATACGAACATTTTATTTCAAGCGGCCTTAAAAAAAAAGAAGTGTACTTTTGAATACCCATGGTTGTTTATTTATTATGCACGTATGGGAGTATCCAGTGGAACGGAAGATAAGGACATTTGGCCACAATGCATTTGGGAGGAGTGTATAAGTTATAGATCAGGCTAATGTAGCATTTTATTTATCAAGTACTGAAGTAAAACCGTACGCTATCAATCAGGAGGCATCCTGTTAGTCCCAAAGTGTGAACAGAGAAACATAAAGAGATTGATCACCTGAACGATCCGTGACTCCAGCTGCTCCACAGACGCCTGCTCTTTGGGCTGCACAGAGGCGCTCATCATCTGCCTCTTCATCATACCGTACTTGTGCAGAGCTCTCTGGTGCTCGTGGAGCACACCTTTCTCATGTCGCTCACAGAGATCCTAAAGGGGGAAAACACAGTTACATAAAACTCTTCTTATTTGCCTCAACATATCAGGGAAATATAATATATAACAGTGATACACAACACCCAAGGAAGATCGTGGATTTGTTGTAAAAAATAGAAACTGTGAAATTAGCATACATATTACAGTTAATGGATTTAATCGAGGCTATAGAAAATGCCACTTTATCTACCCACCTGTCCCCTTGTTTGATCTTTGCAAACCACCCACTACAAGAACTATGTGTTCAAGTGACTGGTTGGGTCTTGGTGCATCGTTATTAAAATGAATGATTACATAATATCCTGAATTCAGTTTGGTACTGGAACGTAGATTTACGAATAATACAGCTCTAAATTGTGTCTTTCTACCAGTAAACAGGAGATTGTTTTTATAGCCCTGGTGGATACAAACTATTTTCTAGTTGTTTTTTAAAGTAAGCATCATTGGATGTGAAAACTGCAAACATAAAAGCAAAAATCACCTGTCCCTGGAGGTGGACTCAATTTAAATGAGCAGAGCAGTAACATAAACCTGACTCACTCTGTACGATTGCAGCAAATCCAAGAAAATATTTAGTTTTTCCACAACATCATCCTCTTCCCGTCTGCCCTGAGGACAGAAGCAAAACAACATTTTTTACCCAGTGCCAGTTTTGGACATGTAGAGCAGAGCAGGTGCTCCAGATGAAGGACTGAGGGCTGTACCTGCTGAGCAGCTTTGTCAGATAGCACAGCGAACTCCACCGACAGACTCTTCAGAGACTGACGCAGAGTCCCCCAGGTGCTTTGTGAAGAGGCCAAGGAGGGAAGAGACGAGCCATCGGAGCCCAGCGTACTGTCAAAAAATACAAATTATTACCGGGCAAGGATGTAGCATTGTAGTGTCTTAGCTGCCAAACTCATTTCAAACTAACAACCATGAAGTGGCACAACAACACGGAGGATTTGGGTTCTTATTAACATTTGTTTTCACAATCCAAAACCTCTGGACAGACTTTTACCCATTTTAATGAAATACCTGAGCTCTCTGCCAAACATGAGAAGATCAGTTGCATTCTCCTTAGAGCGCTCGGCCATTTTCTCAGCTCTGTCCCGCAGCTTCTGGAAGCTGTTGTGAATATTTCTAATCAGCTCTCGGCTTGTTGAGAACTGGGCCTGAATATCAGCGGGGAGATATTCCTACAAAAACAGATGCAACAAACTTAAATAAA